TACTTCTATTAGTATACTTCCTAGTTGGTACGCTTATCCCTCTACCTAGTGAAACCGCCCGCCGTCCTCTACCTCGCCTTCCCACCGCTTACAAAACTCCTATAATAACCCGCAGTAAAAGTAGCCGGAGAATAGCTCGAGACGCCTCCTACCGAATATCTCCCGCTCGGTAGTCCTTATACCTTACTATACCCGTATCCACTCCGTCTCTGCCCTCCTCGGGTATCTAGCAAACGTATACCTCTCGTCGTCCCTTACCCCGAAATATAATACGTACCTCTTACGTCGCCCGTGAAGCTGCGCGAGAAATACTTCTATTTCGCTAGCCTTGCCTATCTTCTCTACCCTAACTCTCTATTGGTCTAGCTTTACATACCTATCTAGCATATGGAACGCTGCCCGGCCTCCTTTATTATCTTCTGCTATACTATCCTCGCTATTATAGCCGAGAACGAACCTTAATCTTAACCCTAGATCGCCCCCGCGGTAGACGTCGTATACTTCTTCATCCTCTTTATAGCTAGAACGGTTACTTCTCCCGTTTATTATTCGGTCGAGAACGACCCGTCTATATTCGTCGCCGGCGAGATACTCTTCTATTACCGCCTCCTGTTGCGATCCGCTGCTGTTGCCGCTGCGGCGTACTACGACTAATACGCTCGGCTGCCCGTCGCGCCCCGCTCGCCCGCTCTCCTGCACGAATCGGCGGAGTCCCGTTAGCATGTCGGCGTGGATCACGAGCCGTACGTCCGGGATATCGATGCCCAGTCCTAATACGTTCGTCGCCACTACGACGCCCTCGGCCCCGTTGCTTTAACGCCACGCCTCGAGCCGAGCCGTCTTACCCTCTATCGAGTCGACGTCGCTGAAGAACGTGGCGCACCCCAGCACTGATCCTAAACGCTCTACCCGCTCGATTGACGTGGCGTATACCACCGCCTTGCCTCGCCCGCCGCTGGCCAGAAGCTCACGTACCCACTGGACTGCTACCCGGCATACCTCGGCCTCAACCGTGTCAAGTGTCTTGAGCGCCGCGTCATCTTCGTCTTGTTCTGCGCCACCGTCGTCCTCGTCACTGATCCTGTCGCTTGCTATGACGACGGAATATCCTATGTTCTTGCGCGTCGTCGCTGTTCGGAACATGCTTACACGACTTGCCTCTAGTCGCATCGCGTGGAAGAATACTACTTCGTCCCTTAGCGTAAGCGTCGCTATTAAGCATATCGTTTATATACCGAACTTGCGAATCGCCTCCCCGAGCTCGCTAAGCCGTGGCCGGAAGCTCCGTGAACCCTTTAGTACGATATAGTACTTGTTTATAACGACGCGGTCTAGCGCCTGCCTCCCTTCTAGCCGTATGATAAAGTCTCTAAACCCCTTTATAACGGCTGACTCGACCGTGACGAAGATGATGGACGCCGCCTGGTTGTTCTTCCGGCTCTGCCACACGTGCGATGTGATCCCCGCCTTGACGCATCGCCTGTGCAGATCCGTCCGCAGCGCTACCAGCGGCGTCACAACCACCGTCACCCCGTCCGGCGAGCAGAACGCCGGCAACATGAACGAGACGCTCTTGCCGCCGCCCGTCCCCATCACCTGCACGATCGGCGTATACCCGCTGGCGATGGCGAGCACCGCTTCTCTCTAGTTTCCGCGGAACCCCGCCGAGTCGTCCCCCGTCATCTACCGTAGCTGGCCCTCTAAGTCTATCCTCCTTAGCTTCTCGAACCGTCGGAGCCTCGCCTCGAGCCGTGGCCCTTCGTACGCCTCCGTCTTTTTCCTCTTATATCCCGCGGAGTCCTATTTCGACTCCGAATCCTCGGCGCCGAACCTTAGAAACCTATACTACTAATAGCTAACTCTACGGAACTATTATTACCTCGCCGTAAGACCGCTACCGAACTATATAAGCTCTTGTGTATAGATCATGCCTACTAGCCGCGTATTATGTCCCGCCTGTAAGTCCTACGGGCTATCCTCGACCTCGTCTATTCCCTCGTCCGACCCTAAGCCTTCGTCGTCTCTACCCGGCCGGCTAAACGACTCGTTCAAGTAGCGGTTAGCAATACTAATAGCTATATACCGCTATATACTTACGTTAACCTAATATCCTAGCAGCCTTATACTAGTGCACTATATAATCCGCCGCGCCCTATCTATCGTCTACGTTCGCTCATCTTTCTACGTCCAGTCGCCTACGCATGTGCTCTCATCCCCTGCCTCGTCTGTATTTATACTACGATTATTGCTATCCCTGACGTTTATGTTATCCCTCCGTTCTTCCAACACTGCTGCCGTCCTGCTTTCTTCCGGGTCCATCTGCCGAATAATGTCGTCTACCCATAAGAACGCGCTGTATCCGCTGGCCTCGTACATAATGCCCTGCACCTCCTGCCAGAATAGCAAGATAAGCCACAGATACCATATGATAAGCTCGCCGACCTCCCTCGGCAGATAGCGGTGGATCACCTTCGCCTAGCCTGTCGTCCGGTACCCTTTATAGTACGCCGTAACGAAGCATAACATCTTATTATATACTAGTATGTTACGGACGCTCCCGTTGACCGTATTGACCGTCCGTAGACCTGCAAGCTCGCTCGCCCGCGCCGGCTGCCCGCCAAGTATATGCAGAAGTATCCATAGTCGCTCGCGGAGTCGTTCAAATGTCCTCTCGAACTCCTACACAGCTAACGGCTAGAACGGTCGGTCTATTAACCTATAACCGTTACTTATGCTGCTCAGTCCCCAGCGCTCTGCTGCGGCGGGTAACTGCGCCAGCCGCATAAACAGCTAGCCGTCCCCGCTAGAAACCCAACCATTACGGTCATCGGCGAGAAATAAGTAGCCCGGCTTCGTCTCGCTATAGTCGTCTTCGATCGATAACCATAGGATAGCTAGTAGCTAGGACCGCACGTTACTTTCGGGACCGTCTAGCAAACCTAAATCCTCCGTCGCCGTTAGCTCTACGAATAGCTCCCGCGTCTCTCGGACTAGCTCGTGCAGTACGTCTAACAGCTGCCCTATCGTGAACCGTACCCGTCTATATGATACGCGATCGCCCACCCAGTCCATGACACCCGCCGCTGCTATGTTATATTAGATATATATACTATACGTCCGCGTCTCGAGAATCTAGTCTATTGGCGTCGGCTCTACGTCCTTCTCGCCCGTCGTGCGCGTTATGAACCGCCGCATCTTCGCCCACATATACTAGAACAAACTCTGCGCCGCGTTCTCTGCTTTATCCTTCCCTAGAGATCTTTCTAGCTCGGCAACCTCGTCATGCCGCTCGGTATATGCCTAATAGATCACTAGCATACGCACTACCTTGATAACGGCTAAGTACTTCGTTATATAGTCTATAATCTGAACCCAGCCGCCATCCTCGGCAATACCCATCACCGCGAGTGCGCTAAGAAGAGCACTGCTGTAGTCTCCGCCCTTCAGCTGGTGGTCCAGCATGCTGATGAGCATGTCAAGCGCTGCGCGTTCCAGCTTCTCCGGAGTTTAGTGCCCCGTCCCCGTGCTGGCTGCTTCCGCCATCTGCTCGAACGAGTCCCACGCTTCTCCCTGTGACGACGTCAGTTTATACGGTGGCCGCTTATCGTCGTCCATTTCCTGTGTGCGGAACCAGACACCCAAGAGACATCGCCACACGCCCTTATATCTCGCCCACGTATCATCCTCCATGCGGTTATCAAACGGCCTCCTTGGTTTGACGTACGCTTCTATACGCTGCGCCTCGAACAGCACGGCCAGCCCGACGGCGTTGGGCGCAGACGTCGCTCGAGCCTGGTCTAGCACGCTGTCGACCGTCGCCCACATCGCCTGGAGCACGACCTCATCTTCATTAATGGGTCCTGTGGTGTTGAATAGTGCGCTGGCACTGAGCCCTTGTAAGTGCACCGCCCACCCTACGCGGGCTAGCCATGGGCTGGGCTCCAGCTTTTCGTTGGCGACGCGGATCAGCTCGTCGTGGCTAGTCTTCACACGTTCTACTTGGACTTCCCGGAGATCTCGAACGCGGTCCATTGCCTGCTGCGCCGGGCGTCTGTTCGGAGCGGCTTACAGAGACTCATCGGCCGTCTATCCCCGGGCCACCTCAAACCACTAGCTACCGGCTCGGCTTAGGAAGAAGCGTTGGCATTGGACGCCTATTATCCATGGCAGCCGTCGGGGCTACTGGCTTTTCTTACTCACGTCGCCCCCCTTCTTCCACTCATTCACCCACTCATGTTTCTCTCGACAGTGCTGCTGCATAGTCTGCAGCCGGATACATACATACGAGCACATATCGCATCGTATGCCGTCGTTACGTGGCGCTATGATGTATGGGATTGCCGCTATATGTGGGCTGGGATGCTCTAGCCCTGCAACATCAGACTGTGTTTTATACACTGTCGTCTCTTGCTCGATCTTGCAGACAATAGCACATCTCTCTTTAGGTTGAATAGACGAATGACGCGTTCTCAAATGTGCGGCCGACTCGTTAGCAACTACTGCAAACTGACAAGATGTGCAAATAAGCAGACAAAACGACTCAGCAACCATAAATGGTTCCATTATTGATGGCGTCGTAACGATTATCTTTAGATTGAAATATCTATTCCTATCGTCGATAGTTATACTAACTTATACTTCTCGTTCTATGAATGTTTTCTACGACATGGGGTAACCATAGTAACGTGTGGGTGCGACCCATCAACTTCCCAAATGTGGAATCCTCTTCAGCGCACGGGCCAGCCGTCCATGGGGGGAAGTAGAGATGTGGTCCAATCATATAGATGCGGGGGGGTGGAGCGGCGAACACCACATCAAAACTATAGCTTCAGCAATAAAATTACTCATAAATTAATCTAATGTAGTTTTATTTCTAAAATTAGCATACTTCATATCCTATACTTATGTTATATTTTACAACTTAAAGCTAACGTTTTACTCTAGAATCGGCTGAGTTCTTTCAATCAACACCTACCCCCCTAACATTCAACCAACACCTACCCCATGCATGTCACCCCCCACTTTTCCATTTGGTGAGGATTTCAACCATCACCTAGTAGGTGTTTGTAGTTGCCAGTATGTTAGGGTCATTTCCGGAACGCTGGGCATAAGATAGAGGAACCATAGCGATGTGAAGAACGCAGAAGTAGTAGACTTTAATCATGGCTGTAATATTTGACCCAATCCTCGACATCACCGACAAATCTCATTGCGATTCCCCTTCTTACACCCCCCTCAATGAAGACGTTAGGATCTGGGTCTTTGTGTATCAGCTCGAGGTCGAGGCCGTCCTTGAGAGCCAGGTCACAGGCCTTCCTGAACTCCATCTTGAGGTCCTCACCACGAACCTTGGAGCATTGCCAGTCGCTATACTCTCTCAGCGCATAGTCGCGTAGTCCAGGGACGTCGAGACCGTTAGGAAGACTAGATAGCACAGTTGCCGTAGTCATTGAAGCCGACGGCGAGATGGAATGGGCCTGAAGCGACTGCAACGAGGGTTCATTGGTTTGGGTGGTTGAGTTGCTGGCAACAGACGACATCGTCCGCTTACGTTGGCGATCTCGCTCTTGCTGTTCTTCGGCGTATAGCTGATGTCGAAGAAATTGGGGTACGTCGTCGTGACCCTGCAGTACGCCGCCATGTTCCACATGCTCAATGAGCGTTTTCAGATGGTGTGTCTTCAGTCGTTGTTGTTGTTGTTGTTGTTGTTGTTGTTGTATTTTAACGCCGTAGCGGCAAGGGCGCAGCCGCCCTTGCGGCAGACCTCCCGAAGGGTATATGGCGTGGAGGGCCGTAGGCCTATAGCTATCACTAGATACAGTCCAGCTCGTCCTCCAAATCGTGCCCAAAGGCAACTATGTGTTTAACCTGTCTCTGGGTGCCGCTGGCTTGCCCGAGATAGTACTATGGTCGTCCCTAGAACGCAATTCCGCCAGTATCTCCTATCCTTCGACCCAGAGCCCGCAGGCTTCTGGTTTACATAACGTTCCAGTAACCGTCCGGAGTATATCGTAATAAGTAATACCGCCATAAGGGAAACCATAAGGGGCAAAACCTCGTAAGACTAGGTTGTAGGGCTTGCTGTTAGGTTCTATAACGAGTATAGCTGTATATAGCCGTGGCTATACATCGCTACCTAATGGTCGTTTCGTCTCTTCGAGGGAGTCTTCGATCGTTTAAGGGGCAAAGGTGCTAAGAGAGCGAAGTCGAAAAGTCGGTCGGTGATGTTCAATTTAGGCCCGGAAGCGCCACTTGCGCCGGGAAAGAAAGTCGCCCGTCTCCTTTAAGAGGCTAGATAGAACCTCTGCTCCCTACCCTACCAGGAAGACTTCGTCTAGCCTGCGGAAGGCAAATTCGAGTCGACAGCGGCTCGTTAGGTTGAATAATCGTCGGCTCGATTCGAGGGGAAAATGTGCGTTGTTAAGGGTTTGATTAGCGTATAGCTAAACCACCCCAGCGCGCAGCGGCAAACCGCGGGGACTGGGGCCCCTCCTTAGCATGGCACTAACAGCCCGTGCCAAGCTGGAGAGATGTTTCGTGGAGGTTGTGTCTTCAGTCGATAGTGTCTGCTGGTGGTTGAATCGCGCCAGCAGTAGGACCCGGCGCGACAAGGTGGCCCTGTGCATCGCATCAAATTGTACACTTCTGGCCAGACCGACGGCAGACCATCGCTCGACTGCTCGGCACTAAGTTGCAAGTCTCTGTCGGACAGCATCTGATCAGAGACCGATTGGCGTCCTCGCTTAGTACCTTGTCGAGCCGATCTATCGCTAGAGAGACGTGTCTGCTTATAGTTGAACGAGAGGTCGATTCTCAGACTCTTACCGAGGCGGGTCAAATGACTCCACCTCTGCAGTTGTGCCTCTAACATTGCCCAGTCAACGTCAAGCTCATCAAACCGCTTGACAAGGTCGCGCTGTGAGCGGTCGGTGACAGACACGACGACGTCGGTATCTACAGCTTCAAAGGTCTTGGTCGATGGCAGCTTTCTGTCGAGAAGGGCCCTCAGCTTGGCTCTCAAGCGCGTCTTCCAGAAAACATCGGGCGGGACAACAATTGTTTGTTCGGAGTCTTTGGTGACCATTCGGTTGTTGGCAGTCAATTTCCACTCCACTGAGTAGGGCACATGAGCGGGCTGTGGATCATTGTATTCTGGGTCGGGAGGCTCCGATAGCCGACTCATCCACACATCGTCCTGGTTGGCAGCCGACCTGCTTTGCGGGGAAGAGTCGCCGTCGTCTGACTCATCGGTTTCACTTATGTCGAACACGGAGGGGCTTCGAGTGTTTCGTTCGAGGAACTGGTTTCCAGACATCTTGGTGAAGTACGTTGAATAGACGTGTACATAGAGAAGGAAGAAGAAAAGTCCATGGTTACAGTGGATCGCACACGAGTATCCCATTGACTGCTGCAAGACGCCATGCGGGGTACGGCCAATAAGGGCTTGTGTTTTCATATACTCTATCCAATGATAAGCTAGGATTTCCGGTACTTCTATTCTCTAGTTATCTTGGTTATGCCAGAGGTACCAGCAATCTCTGTTGATACAAAGCGGTACATTGCAGTCTAAGCAGCCCTCTCTTGTGTATCTAGGCCGTGGCTGCGCAAGGCTATTTCCAGATATCTCGGATAAGGCAGTTCGGCGAGATAATGCGCCTTTACTGCTGCAATAAGAGCACCGCGAATTAACCTTTCTCGATCCCTTTGTATGGTGTTGCCAAGGAATAGAGGTATTCCTTTTATCTTTAGCTTGCCCAGGCCGAGGTCTAGCAGGAAGTAACAAGCAATTGCCTGCCAGCCCCCTCGCCGGATAGGGTGGCCCCATTGATAATAGGATCTCATCTGGTCACTAACATCAACGCCGTTCATCTTATGGTTATACTCGTCTATTGGTGCCGGCACTGGCAGGTTCTTCCGGACGTCGGCGCCGAAGACTTTCCGGGCAGCCCGCTTTACAGCAGTATCTCCGGTTGGCCGGCGCCGGCTCCGAATAATATCCTGGCCTTCCCGGAAGACTGTTGTCAAGAAGAGTACAATAGCATTATCTTTCCAGGTGAACTGGTTAACCTAGAAGAACTGATTAGTATAGAGATATCCTTAGAAGGTAGTCTATAACACTATACCTCCCCATCTAAAGTAGGGATATAATGTATCTTGCCCCAAGGGATATCCTGTCCTTCAGTTGCTTTCTCGGCAATATGGATCTTATCTATGCCGCTATCTTTCCGGCAGGTGCCAGAAGCTCCGACTTGCTGCTTCCGGAGAGCCCGGAAGAGCCGGACAGAAGAAAAGAGGTTATCTAAAAAGACGTGGTAGATTGCAGCCGGAAGTAGGGCAACTAGGGTCGTTACAACCCGTTGCGTCGGCGTTAAAAGGGCCTGCTTTGCCGCCTCGTCATCCGGCGCTGGCCGGGCCTGTGGGACTAGCCCGTACGGGCCCTTTCCGTGGATATGCCAGAGCCACCGGAGACAGTAGCCTGATTGGGCAAGAATCCATATCTTGAAGCCGGTCGGGATCGGCTTAGTCGGGATTGTTGTTGTCTCAAGGGACCGGGCTGTGAATCGGACCATAGCCTCGTCAACGGTAAGGTCAGAGCCGGCCGTATAGAAGGAGTCCCCGGTATCCTGGATATGGGCCGACCACCCGTTAACCTTCCGATACGTATCCGGTATTGAATTATCCTGGGGCCGGCGTCGGCACCGGCCATGGCTAGACTGACTAGGGAACTCAGAAGTATCGAATATCCGCAGCTGCCGGGATAGTCTTTGGTAACGGTCACGGGATATAAACCGGGTAAATAGATGAATAGGGTCCTCTTTCTCTTGCTGAGTTGCCCAGTATCTTGATAGACCATACTCCTTATGGATCCCTATATAAATACGGATTCCTAAGAAGAGGTATACCTCTTCTATAGAGGTCTTTTTCCACTTATACACTCTTGAGTGTCTAGGCTGAGGGCCCTCCTTAGATATCGGCGCTGCATTTGTCCACCGGACCCACTGCTCAACAAGGCTCCGGGGAACGTATCGGAGGAAAAGGTTAATCGGCGTTTCCGGTAAGTCCCGTATTTGCCGGTCCCGGGCCGGTATATCAAAGGGTATAAAGGAGCCGGGCAAGCCAGGCTCAGCCGGAGGCTCATGGAGCCGGACTGTGCTATTATCGCACTTCTCCGGGGTGCAGTCGGCAGTACAGCCGACTTCAAGGTCTTCGGGAAGGAGCTTAACAAATATACAGCTCCGTATAGAGGTATCGGTAGTTACAGAGGCATCGGAAGCATCAGAATCACTAGAAGACATCGTAACATTGGTTGAAATGATGGTTTTGGTAGTGATAGTAGGTAAAAAAACATAGGGGTAAATGATGTTTCGCCTTGTACAGATTGAAGTGCGGGGTAAAAGTGGGCGCTTTTGTGGACCACCCGTTTTTTGGCGTCTTGCAGCAGTCAATGGGATACGCGGGGGACTGGCCTGGGCATTTTCTATATGAAATAACATTTTCAACGAGCCGAAATTGGCTCAGAATATCGTAAGCTGCTGATGACGGCGATTCTTCAAAACTTCTATACAGCTGATTTTGGCGGAGATGTTTCTGTCCTGGGTCCTGAATATGCTTCAACTTAGATGAAGGGCGTCGGCTTAGCAGGATCCACAAGACAAATCCGCGTTCCCCACTTTGAGACTAGGGGACGGACCCCTGAAAGAAGAAATGGATGTTGCTGACTTCGAGGATCCAGTTATCCAGAGAGAGCCACGACTGGCGCAAGCTTTCGAAAGTCAGGTGGAAGTTAGCTAAGCCATCTGCTGGATCACATGACATGCAGCAGAGTGAATCGCCCGTTCGGGGTTCTACTGTGCTAGGCTGACCAGCCCTGTTGTACTGTACTTTCTAATTGTTATCCACTTCGAATTTGTATCACAGGCTCATAATGAGATTTCTCAAAGCTTGTCGGGCGACTAGATTACATGATCTTAAGTCAAAGATGATTGCACCTATGTGCAAGACCGAATAGGAAAAAAAACATTAGCACCGCGTGAACATAAGCAAGTTACAAGCACTTGAAGCAGCATAAGCAAACATATGGCAGCGGAAAATGCTGTGCATAATCCGTTTTCCAAACACTTGGATCAAGTGGGGTGAAAGCTGTCAGCAGGGCCTCCATAGTGGGTCGGTACAGCAGTGTGAAATCAAACTGTGTTGGTGCCCAGACGGCAGACGTCCGTGCGGAAAGACATCAGAGAGTTGTGAAAGGGGGCTACAGAGGATCGCAAAACCGGTGTCCGCTTCGCAAGTATGGTTTGTCTGTTGAGCACAGACCTTCCATGGATTAGGTACATGGGAGGAGGCAGGGGTACCTTGACAGCCACTACGCTACATCTGTTCCTGGGAGCCCGGAATGGCTTATTGACCACATCGCTGACAGCTGGCTTTCATACTAGATAGCCAACATGAAGCGAGCCAAAATAAGCTGATAGTGTGCGTTCACAGCTCACAGCGTCAGCAACAATCAGCTTCCTCCCACTTATGCACCCCGTTAGAGACATATTACTTTATCAGAGCCGTCATTCCATTCACGAGGCAAGCACTTTGATAAGCAGCTTATGGCACCGGCAATACTTCCACCGCATGCCTCGTTTGGAGCAGCATCCTCGAAGGCGCCATTCCGCGTCGAGCGCGCATGTCATTTCGGGCTCCTAGAAGACCTATGTAGGCGTGAACACTTGCCTTTTAAGTACTGTGCGGGCCCTCCATCAATCAATCGGCCCATATCTCAATGCTTTTTGTTCTTGGTTCCAGCCAGGAAAGATGCCCGACGCGTCGTTGGAGACCGCAAAGCATCATGTTCCTGGAGATCACCAGCAAAGTTGCGAGGCGAGATGGCGCGCGATATTTGTATTCCAGCTTGATGATCGAAAGTTGAAAACCGGCTCGGTATTGTTCGCATCGAGTATAGAGATCGTTCGATATGGTCTGTTCTTGCGTGGGAGTCGATCGGCGGTCGGTGGTCCGGACGACCTACTGGCTTGTACCGTCTTCTCGATGCCGTGCTCGCCAATTCAAGCGATGCTGTATACGGTCACGTTGTCGTTGATCGAATTATGACACCGTACCAGAAACGCCTTGATGGTTCATCTGCAATGATCAGCAAGGAGCTTTCCCCCGGACGGGCAGTTGTTCGCGTTCCTTACCTTCGCCTCCGGAAGAAGCCGGGCGGCTAGCGGCAAAGACGCCGTAGTGCTGAGGCGATGCGGCCACGTATACACAAAGAGAATGCCTGTATATCGAGGCCGCTAACGAGCGGATAGTTGACGATGCTTCGCGTTCTGTGGTTGCAATGGCGTCAATGTCCATGCGTTGAGCTGCGAAACCATGCGTGTCGAAATCAGGGTTTCATGGTTAGTACAGCCGAGCTTTAGCCGAAGTGACCCAAATCCACGTGTCCCTTCCGCCCTTCCTTCATCGCACCATTTTCATCACCAACGATGGCGCCGGTTCTCGCGCAATCGCAGCACGACTTGATCCGTGATATGCTAACAAGCAGCAGCTTCACTAACGCTGAAATTGCGACAGCCGCGAGATGTAGTACCCGTGCCGTGCGACGCATCCGTCAAAGGCTAAACTGCTTCGGAGCGACGAGAGCCCCTCCGAACGGCGCCGGCCGACCTAGAGACATCACCCCTTCCATGTTCAGTGCGTTATGCGATCGACTGCTAGAGAAACCGGACATGTACCTGCAAGAGATGGCAATATTTCTGTTCGACGAGTTTGATACCTGGGTGACTCCGTCTACTCTCAGTAGGACTCTGAGGAGGGCTGGCTGGACGAAGAAAAAGGCGCGACGCATCGCTCGGGAACGGAACGCAGACTTGCGTGACTACTACCTGCATAAGCTGTCGGCTTATCGGTCGTACCATCTAGTCTACGTTGACGAGTCGGGTTGTGATAGGCGTTGCGGTTTTCGACGTACGGGTTGGTCTCCTCTGGGGTCGACGCCCACGCAGACTGCGAAGTTCCATCGTGGTCAGCGGTACCAGGTGCTTCCGGCGTATACACAAGATGGCGTTCTATTTTCGCAACTGTTCCAGGGCCATACCGATGGTGAGGCGTTTGAGGACTTCATCGAGGCGTTGCTTCCGCACTGCGGGCGGTTCCCGGAGCCGAAATCGGTGCTTGTAATGGATAACGCCTCAATCCACCACACAGCAAAGATCCGACAGATGTGCGACGATGCTGGCGTGGTCTTGCTATACCTGCCGCCATACTCACCCGACTTAAATCCCATTGAGGAATTCTTTGCAGAACTCAAAAGTTTCATCAAGCGTCACTGGGCAGACCACGAGAACTGTCCTGACTTCGCGTGGTTTCTTGAGTGGTGTGTGCGATCGGTGGGTTTGAGGAGCGCAAGCGCCGCGGGTCATTTTCGGCACGCGGGTGTGAAGATAGAGAATCAGTTGCATCAACAGGTTGGAGTCTGTGCCTAGTAGAAGATTGGATTGATTTCACGCGCATATTCTATTGCTGTTCTTGTTCCCAACCCAGGGCCCATTCGCATATGTCCCTGATGAAACGTGTCGCGGCCCCCTTCTTGACCCCGTTGTCCATGAAAAATTGAGCATCTTGGTCCTCGTCCACTTGTTCGAGGTCAAGACAATGTTCGACCATAACCTCGTACGCCTTTCGATACCCTGCTTTGAACGATTCGTCCAGCACTTGTGAGCACTGCCACTCGCAATAACTTTTCATTGCAGAATCCCTTGGCCCAGGAATCTTCAATCGGGTGGGCGTATGGGACGATGTGGATGCTGGCGCCGGCTCGGACCCGCGTCCAGGCAGCGGAACCCCTGGGGACGCATCGGATCCGGGCATGACGTTGGTGATGTTTATGGGTGGATATTTCGCTAGACTCCCGGACCGTGCTTGACGGTCCAAACGTTGCTGATCCTCCGCATACAATAAGTCACGGATGCTGCTCGGCATGTCGGTGTGGCTCTCAAGCACTCCACCGTCCTCAACGTGGGCAACCAGACTTGTCAGGTGACGAGTCGCAAGCTTGTAGTGCTTCTTACCGTGGTCATCAACCCAGCAGTGCGGTCCAAGATCACAGGGTGGACCAGGACATCTCATAAGGTTGTACACCCGTTCCCACACTGGCACTTGTCCTGTCCTACTGCATTCCTCTTCAATTTCTGCATCGCGTTCAGCCAGCATCCGTTGTGTTGCTGAGCGCTTTGTTCCCCGTCGCCCGGCACTGCCGGCTGCTGGTCCAGTCTCCACGTAGTTGAAGGAAACGCTGATCTTCAGCCTTTTGCCAGCACGAAACAAGCGACTCCACGTGAGCAGCTGCGTCTCGATGACGTCCCATTCTATATCCAGGTCGTCAAATTGTTTGACTAGGTCTTCTTCTGAGCGGTCTCGCACAGACACTATCACGGTGGTATCATCGGGCTTGAAGGATTTGTTGGGTGCCAGTTTCTTGGCCGCGACGTAATTTAGCTTGCTCCGCAGATTCAGGTCCCAGTAATCACCTGGGGCAAGGACAAGATTCGGCTCGCTGTCTTTGGACACTGCTCTGTTGTTCACTGTCAATTTCCACTCCAGAAGATAGTGAATACAGGTTGGCGGCTGCTCATCATAACTGCGGTGTGCGTCCCAATCGGTCAATCGAAGCAGGGGCAGTCTGCCATCAGAAGTAGGTTGCTGCGTTGCCGCCCTGGATGATGCTGCAGGCGCTGGGCTGCTTCCATCGACAGACTCGAGATCGGGCCAGGTATCCCAGTCAAAATCAGGTGGAGAGTCACTGGAAGCCATCGTCGCAAGTTCAGTACTATGTACAGTAGTTCGGACGAATGGCGGCGATGGCTCGATTCAGCCGCTGAGGTGTGGGAGAAGGTCAGGTGGGAAAAGATATGCCAGGCTGCTGCGGGCGACACGTGGCCTCAAGTCAGCATCCGCCTAAAGTAGCTAGTGTGGCCAGCCGCGGTCTGTTCCATCTTTTGAAACCATCTGAAGCTTACATAAGCAGTAGCCCATCGCCTCTGGTTCGGGTCGGCCCGTATCGCCCACCACGGAACGTCTGAAGTCTTTCGGTCTAAAACCTTGTCCCTTGCCAGTGTCTTTTTCGATATCCCTTGACATAAACGGTTTTTCATCAATGTCGACTCCCAAATTGTGCATGCGGATAACCACAGTAGTCCTCAATTAATCCTCGTCTTTCACTACTTGGCGGTTTGTCACCGATAAGCAAGATTTGGCTTGGGCAGCCTCAAGAGACCGTTGGAGCACCCTCAGACCCAACATGTAAGGGGCTACACCACTCGCGCGCTTCGTTGGAATTGATAGCATGCAAAGGCATATCCCCAGTGTCAAAGGTGGACCTGACACGATGATTTGACTGGATCTTATGCCGCTAAGATGACGAAAAGCGCCATTGCTAAATATAAAACGAGGAAGAGGCTTGGCTGCTGATTGTACAATTAGCAACGCAGAGCGCGTGACTGGAGACCGACTGGTGCAGACCAGGTCAAATGGCGCCATTGGAGCCACTTGGCAGCGCTTACCTTACCAGGCGACAGAGCATGCAGACTCGGCTCCACAAGAGATGGCGAAATGCTGATGGACTCAGCGGGGTTGCGTTCCAGTCCCTGGCTTGCTTTTCTGTGGAGTTCGCACACTATAGACTTACTTGGATTTGAACTCATCCAAAACATCAGGCACTGAAGGTAAGCTAGAAACTTGACCGCAAACGCTATCAAAGATCTACTGCCGAATTCTAATTAATTCCGATTAAGTTGCCATGGGAATCACCCGCTTGTTGAAGAAATTCAATGGTAGGACAGATCGATCAGCGGTGGCCAGCTCTACCCCGCAACCAGAAGCACCATGCGCCCCGCCATCTCGCCCATTTGGACTGGAGGTCTTGGTCGAAGGAAGGGATCCTGTCGTGGAGTAAGTGTCCAACTGCCAAAGTATCGCCCTTCCTAATTTTTGGTTAACCAATCTGCTCAGCATCGTTGCAGTTCATGGTCTAAACGGCCATCGAGAGCATACTTGGACTGCCAGTGGCGGCAAGCATTGGCTGCGAGACTTCCTTCCGACCGATTTGCCCAATGCTCGGGTCCTTTGCTGGGGATATGATGCCAACACACACTCGAGTTCTAGCGTGAGCATCCAATACCTATATGATCACGCTCGAGAACTTGTCGCAGATCTGACCAGGAAGCGGGGCTTGACCAATGTCTGTAACCACTTAACCGTCGTATCTAGCGGAAATACTGACAGCAATCAGTCGAGAGAACGGCCGATCATCTTTGTGGTGCATAGTCTTGGTGGCATCGTCGTTAAGAGTGTCAGTGCATAACTTGCTCACTGTTGCCCACTCTAATTTAGTATAGGCCCTCATCCACTCCGACACCGCACGTGAAGGCGCATTGGCCGAACATCGATCTATCAAGACCTCCACACATGGCATCTTGTTCATGGGAACCCCTCATCAAGGAGGTAATGGAGTTCAACTGGGGCGCGTGCTCGTCAATGTCGCATCCATCTTCGTCTCAGCAGACGATCGTCTCCTCAAACACCTCGAGCGAGAATCCGAATGGCTACAGCAGCAACTGGGGCAGTACGAGCCCATCAGCGGAGACTTTGTGACAAAGTTTGCTTACGAGGTGTACAAAACGCCTACTCCCTTGGGACAGATTACGGTTCGTCTAATGCCAAGCGTTTTATGCCATATACTTATCAACAACAGGTTGTACCGAGAGCATCAGCTGTTGTTCCCGGCCAAGCAGACGGCGAACCGATCGCTATCCATGCTGATCATATCAGCATGGTGAAGTTCGCTTCCAAAGAGGACCCAAGCTATGTTAAAGTGTCGGAGGTACTTCAAATCATGGTGGCAAACGCTGGCAACAACATCCGATCGAGGTGGGAGACGGAGGAGAGGGTTACGAGGGGTAGGAGCCCTTAAGGTGTTTTTAGTCTGGTACAGTAGCTAATGAATTGTTGCGATGCAGCACGAATTGGCAACGAAACACCTGAGAAAAAATGTACGTGTGTTGTCTTCCAAAGTCCCATCTAACTCGTCTGACATCTGATACGATTGCAGCTGGCCCATTTTACTCCATCCCATTTCCAGATAACAAAGGCTTCGTTGGGCGGAGTGAAACGCTCCAAGCCCTTCAATCAATATTGTTTCGCGACAAGTGTCAGAAAGTCGCCCTCTGTGGCCTTGGTGGCATCGGAAAGACTCAAGTTGCCTTGAAGCTCGCTTACCTGACAAAGCAAGAAAAACCTGACTACTCGATATTCTGGGTGCCAGCATCAAGCAAGGAAACCTTTAATGAGGCGTACCTAGCTATCGCTAGAAAGCTTGACGTTCATGTCACTGATGATGAAGATCTCAGGATAGCACTGAGAGAGCATCTCAGCTCGCCTGACTCCGGCAAGTGGCTTCTCATCATCGATAACGCAGACGACGAAGGCGTTTTATATGAGTCAGAAGATGGCCTCGACAGACTCTACGACTGTTTGCCTCAGAGCGACGATGGTGTGACTTTATTCACTACCCGCTTCTCACGTGTAGCAACGTCCGTCGCCGGAAGAAACGTTGTCGACTTGGCAAGTATGAGCCTCAATGAGGCGAGCGACTTCATGAGGCAATCGTTGGTGAAGGCTCTTTATAGGGAGGGGATTATGCTTAAGGAACTCCTAGAAGACCTCACATATCTTCCCCTCGCTATTGCGCAAGCTGCAGCGTACATGAACGAGAACAGAACATCGATGCAAGAGTATCTTGGCTTGCTTCGAAACACAAAGCAGGACATGATCGAACTGCTTAGCAGCGATTTCCATGACAGAACACGATACAGAGACAGGAATTCACAAAGCCCAGTAGCCACCACATGGTTTATTTCATTCAGCAAAATTCATGAATGCAACAAGCAAGCTGCTGAACTGCTCATGTTTCTCTCGTATATTGAGCCGAAGGGTATTCCGCGATCGATCATGCCAAAATTATCTTCAGAGCAACAAATAACTGCAGCCATTGGCACACTATGTGCCTACGCCTTTCTCACGCAACGAGGAAGCACAAAGGTATATGACATGCACCGCTTGGTACACGTATCGACCAGTATTTGGATTGAGAGCCAAAACAGCAAAGACCAAAAAGCAGATCTTGCGCTCGAAATTTGGGAAAGTGCAGTGCAGCAGGTTACTAGGGTATTCCCCTCAGATGCACACGAGAATCGATATTTGTGGAAAGAGTATATGCCGCATGCTTTGAGACTGTTGGGGAACGAGCTGTTGAACTCAGTGAAAAAGGTGGACTTAGGCTACAGGGCCGGGCGATGTTTGAAAGTGGATGGCCGAGTCAAAGATGCCATCAAGCTACTCGAGCACGTTGTCGACGTTGGTAAGACGACGCTTGACGAAGGACATCCTGACCGACTTGCGTCACAACACGCACTTGCAGGGGCATATGAAGCCGACGGACGAGTCAAAGATGCCATCAAGCTACTCGAGCACGTTGTCGACGTTGGTAAGACGACGCTTGACGAAGGACATCCTGACCGACTTGCGTCACAACACGCACTTGCAGGGGCATATGAAGCCGACGGACGAGTCAAAGATGCCATCAAGCTACTCGAGCACGTTGTCGACGTTGGTAAGACGACGCTTGACGAAGGACATCCTGACCGACTTGCGTCACAACACGAGCTCGCTAGGGCATATCAAGCCGACGGACGAGTCAAAGATGCCATCAAGCTACTCGAGCACGTTGTCGACGTTGGTAAGACGACGCTTGACGAAGGACATCCTGACCGACTTGCGTCACAACACGCACTTGCAGGGGCATATGAAGCCGACGGACGAGTCCAAGATGCCATCAAGCTACTCGAGCACGTTGTCGACGTTGAAGAGACGACGCTTGACGAAGGACATCCTTCTCGACTTGCGTCACAACACGCACTCGCAGGGGCATATAAAGCCGACGGACGAGTCAAAGATGCCATCAAGCTACTCGAGCACGTTGTCGACGTTGGTAAGACGACGCTTGACGAAGGACATCCTGACCGACTTGCGTCACAACACGCACTTGCAGGGGCATATGAAGCCGACGGACGAGTCAAAGATGCCATCAAGCTACTCGAGCACGTTGTCGACATTGGTAAGACGACGCTTGACGAAGGACATCCTTCTCGACTTGCGTCACAACACGAGCTCGCTAGGGCATATCAAGCCGACGGACGAGTCAAAGATGCCATCAAGCTACTCGAGCACGTTGTCGACGTTTGTAAGACGACGCTTGACGAAGGACATCCTTCTCGACTTGCGTCACAACACGCACTTGCAGGGGCATATGAAGCCGACGGACGAGTCAAAGATGCCATCAAGCTACTCGAGCACGTTGTCGACGTTTGTAAGACGACGCTTGACGAAGGACATCCTTCTCGACTTGCGTCACAACACGCACTTGCAGGGGCATATGAAGCCGACGGACGAGTCAAAGATGCCATCAAGCTACTCGAGCACGTTGTCGACGTTGGTAAGACGACGCTTGACGAAGGACATCCTTCTCGACTTGCGTCACAACACGCACTCGCAGGGGCATATAAAGCCGACGGACGAGTCAAAGATGCCATCAAGCTACTCGAGCACGTTGTCGACGTTCGTGAGACGACGCTTGACGAAGGACATCCTGACCGACTTGCGTCACAACACGCACTTGCAGGGGCATATGAAGCCGACGGACGAGTCAAAGATGCCATCAAGCTACTCGAGCACGTTGTCGACGTTTGTAAGACGACGCTTGACGAAGGACATCCTTCTCGACTTGCGTCACAACACGCACTTGCAGGGGCATATGAAGCCGACGGACGAGTCAAAGATGCCATCAAGCTACTCGAGCACGTTGTCGACGTTCGTAAGACGACGCTTGACGAAGGACATCCTTCTCGACTTGCGTCACAACACGCACTTGCAGGGGCATATGAAGCCGACGGACGAGTCAAAGATGCCATCAAGCTACTCGAGCACGTTGTCGACGTTCGTAAGACGACGCTTGACGAAGGACATCCTTCTCGACTTGCGTCACAACACGCACTTGCAGGGGCATATGAAGCCGACGGACGAGTCAAAGATGCCATCAAGCTACTCGAGCACGTTGTCGACGTTCGTAAGACGACGCTTGACGAAGGACATCCTTCTCGACTTGCGTCACAACACGCACTCGCAGGGGCATATCAAGCCGACGGACGAGTCCAAGATGCCATCAAGCTACTCGAGCACGTTGTCGACGTTGAAGAGACGACGCTTGACGAAGGACATCCTTCTCGACTTGCGTCACAACACGCACTCGCAGGGGCATATAAAGCCGACGGACGAGTCAAAGATGCCATCAAGCTACTCGAGCACGTTGTCGACGTTGGTAAGACGACGCTTGACGAAGGACATCCTGACCGACTTGCGTCACAACACGAGCTTGCAGGGGCATATGAAGCCGACGGACGAGTCAAAGATGCCATCAAGCTACTCGAGCACGTTGTCGACGTTCGTAAGACGACGCTTGACGAAGGACATCCTTCTCGACTTGCGTCACAACACGAGCTTGCAGGGGCATATCAAGCCGACGGACGAGTCAAAGATGCCATCAAGCTACTCGAGCACGTTGTCGACATTGGTAAGACGACGCTTGACGAAGGACATCCTTCTCGACTTGCGTCACAACACGCACTCGCAGGGGCATATGAAGCAGCTGAAGCAGCAAACGAGATCCTGAATTAAGCATTTTAGGTAGTCGACAACATAATTCATGATGAATTTGAGTAAGTTGAGTGTGCAGGGTAACGTACGAGTACTCTGCAGCCATCGTTACGCGTCTTTTGTAGCTTTGCTGCATGGCTAATGGAGGCCTTGTCCAACGCAAGTGCATGTTCCGACTTGATTCGCATCGCAGGGGCACTGTATCGTGCGGCTGTAGCAATTTCAGCGTGATAAGTTCTCGCTGGTTAAGAAGCCACGGATCAGGGCGTGCTGCGATCGCGCGAAAGTCGGCGCCGCTGTTGATGATGGAAGTGGTTGAGGTGAGGAACGAAGCGAGAGGACATCTGGAATTTGGTCATCTCGGCTAAGGCTCGACTGTACTCATCCTAAAGACCCTGCCTTCTACTGTAACGCGCACGTTTTAGCTGCTTGAAGTATCCGTCATTGAAGCGAGTATCATTGCAGACCATGAAACCTCGTCAGCTCTTCGCCCGTTCGCGAATTCGATACAAGAGCTCTGATTTTGTGGAGAGTGCCCGTGGCGACTCAGTGACACGGTGTCCTTGAGCTGGCCGCTCCGTTTCTTCCAGAGTCGAAGGTAAAAAACGCGACCTGATGCTCGTCTGGGGGAGAGCTCCTCGCTGATCACAACAGATGAAGCATGAAGGAATTCATGTTCTGGTGCTACTGTACATATAATTCGGGACATGACAATAGTACTAAAGATAGCATCGCTTGACTCGGCAAGCATGGCGTCGAGAAGATACTGCAAGCGAGCACACTGTCCGAGCCACCAACCGCCGACCGACTCCCTTGCGAGAACAGATCCTGTCGAAAGTTCTCTGTACAGTACTCAAATTAACTACTCAAGGGGTATAACTGTCGAGACGTTGCGCAGTTTCTGATCGTCCAACTGGGCTACAAATGCCGTGCGCCATCTTACCTTGCAGCTTGGCTGAGGATATCCAGGAACGTGATGTTCTGCGGTCTTCAATGAGACGTTGGGCATCTTTGACTGGAATTAAGAGGAATAAGCACCAACAGATGGGTGGATTGAGGGACAGAGGGCTCGCTCAATGGTCAAAGGGCAGGTCTTCACGCCTCGCTCTGCGCCCATATTAGCCCTTGAGAAGCCCAATTGAGGCGCGAGCTCGACGCGCAACGAGGACATACTGGAGCAGATTTGACGCCCAAACTCTGCGTGCTGTAGTAGTACTGCAGCGCCATAAGCTGCTTACTACGTGGATGAAATGGTAGCTCGGATTGAATGGTATCTCTATAACGCGGTGCATAAGCGGGAAGAAGCCGCCGTTTGTTGCTGACGCTATTGGCTGTGAGGGCACAAGCAGCTTATTTTGGCGCACGCCATGTTGGCTATGTATTATGAAAGCCAGCTGTCAGCTATCTGGTCAATAAGCCATTCCGGGCTCCCAAGAACATTTGTAGTGTAGTCTCCGTCAATGTACCCCTGCTCCTTGTCATGTACCTAAGCCGTTCTTGGATGGGATGGACCGTGCTCAGCAGATAGAACACACATGCCAAGCGGACACCAGTTTTGCGATCCTCTGTACAGACATGGAGATCCGCCACCAGCTTGCCGAGGACTGGCAGGACCTTATAGGCTACTACCAGAGGCCGAAGCTACTGGACATGGGCCGTGATGTTCATCGCAGATCTATGCAGAGGCCGCAGGCCCATACCTAGTCTTGCGACCCTTGCACAGACGATAAATGCTATACTAGTCTCATACAGTTTACAAATCGGCTACTTATACAGAACGTCGCGAGGGGGCTCAACTAACTCGCGATCGCATTATATCTAATAACATGAACGACTTCTGTTTTAATCCTTTCAATTTTCTTCCAGCCTTATACTATATCTTACTAACGGAGCTAAACAAGTCTTACAGTAAACTATAGAAACCCCCTAAACATTTATCACCTACCACAAGAATTGACTCGCCAAACACTAAAACTAGACGCATCAGTCGGCCGGTTAATAATCAAGCTCTCGCAACCACACGTTGGTTTAAAGATATCCGCAAACATCTTCTCTTCTCTAGAATTCAGAGTATAATAAGTAGTTCTCATCTATTAGAAGCCCCCCTACCAGATCGCAAAGAACATCCCGTATTGCACTCGCAGCTAATATTATTAAAACGGTTAGAAATCGTTCGCCTTTAAGGATACAGCGCGTACCGAGGATCAATATGTCTCCTATGTTTCTAATTACGTCGGGCGATATTCGACTAAATAAGCGACGTGCTTCACCCCATAGGCTCGCCGTAAGGTCAGGGCTACCGACGTAAAGCTGCGCTCTCGTACTAAAGTCCTTTATACGAGTCGGTTCACTATGTGAACGGCTATTGCCGCCGTGGAGGTGCTTGCTGATCAGCCGCTCAGCATCAGCCGTGCTCAGGACTTGCGTTGGGGCGCACGCAGCTATCTGCTTGTCACTGGCGCACTCTGGTAGCAGAGTCTGGAGGTCACCGACTGATATTCCCTGTGCCTGCGCATCCAGGAATATGGAAATCTCCAGGATCTAGTCGCAAAACAGTCAACCGCGCCGGTCAACAATTATGGGAAAGCTACGATGCACATACGTAGCCGTTGTCTAGCGTATCGTCATTCAGTATGGAATTCAGGATGGACTCAGCCGCGTGCACGATATCTGGTGTAGTCAGTCACAAAGGCCGCCTCGCCTTGGTACATCTCTTTCAACTCACCAAGATTGGCTACCTGCCAGATAAGATAGATCTGCCGCGTACGACCTCTACTGTAGTTATATCCATAAACCAGCTTCTTCAGGTACGGGGCCTGAGCTACGATTCCGTAGCCCGTGGCCACCATAAGCACCGCCTCATAATCCCACACCGGCACGCTTACTCCGTGCGGGCCGGAAAGAAAGGCCAGTCGTGGCACGGCATACTCATGAGAATACCGAACAAGGCTAGATATGAATCCTCTTCGCGGTTCGATAAAGAGGTCGACGATGCCCTGTTCCGCCTCGGCCCACGAGGTCACGACGAAGGGGTGGCTCTCCAACAGGCGGACCCTCGGCATCCACAACAGCAGATACTGGCCCGCCTCGAACGCAAGTGGCCTCGGCAGCTGAATCGAGACGCGCACGGCCCCGGCATCGTGATTGATGTAGGCTCTGCCAAACGTTCGTCCCATCATCTTGTTACGAAATGCCATCAGGCCCACTTGTGAAAAGGTCGTCAGCGCCGTCACGGCAAGATAGACGTACAGCCATAGCCAGGAACGATCGGTCATCGACTGCAGATGGAACGCGAGCCCCACCGCTGCCAGGCAAGAGAGCGCTTGGTGGGTTCTCAGACACAGCTCGTAGATACGGCGTCGGAACAAGGGGAGAAAGGTCATTATTGCCGCTGCCACCATGGCGATGGAGCCCTGTGAGAGTAAGACAATGACCCGAAACTTGGCAATGGAGATATTTCCCTTACCGTGACCATAAGGAGCTCGCTAGCACCTCCAGATACCTGAACCGAGAACTTGTCGTCTTCCATGGCGCTAATAATGTGGCCTACGAGAAGCATTGTCGCAACGCGACCCTGCCACCTGTAGAACACCGCATAATATCGATAAGGTACGGCGAGTATATCTACGGTAAAGTCCAGGCAGGGTCCAGAGAACAGGGGAAGCATGTTAAGGAGAGCCAGGTTTCCGGAGCGGGAGAGACGGGTAGACGGTCGGAAAATCAGGCAGAAGACGTTTACGCCTAAGAGGAGGGTCGGAACAAGTAAGGAGATAGCGTTCCACGGACCAAGCAACGAGTAGCGATAAACGAGAAGTCGGTATACCAAATACTTCTCCATAAGATAGGCGAGCTATTTCCAAGCTCTTCCCGTACGAGACAGGACATTCAAGGACGCAAGACCAACAATCATGCCCGCAAGGTAGATTGCATAGGAAGTAATGACCCAGTCCATGGATCACTTGTAGTCAGGAGAGTTAATACTCTGGAGCAAAATAACAGAAATAATAGACCGACAAGTACAGGCGAAGCGGGAGTAAAGGGTCGAAGGACTCAAGTAGTCCGATAAATAGTAAGGCTATAAAGCATTACATAACCGGTAGAGTTGGCCATCTATCGCAAGCAGAGCAGGAAACAGCCAACAAAAGCTTAGTTTGGCACCGTTGCTGCCTTGGCCCCACAGATGTACTCACGCGGGAAAACCGCAACGCGGGTCAAACTGACAAGACCGAGGAGACATTCGGTATCCCGATGTCTGACGAGCGAGTGCTGTAGGTGTTAGTTAGTCGTTTGGCTATCCGGCGCGAGCCTCGGACGTAGCTAGTGATACGAACATTCTGCAACTCAACGACTGACGACGCAGAATCGATGGCGACCAGAAAGGTAAACCCGTCCGAGTCGGGGGACCAGCGGCCGAGGTCATCGATACCTGGCGTCTCCTTGCAGTACTTTTGCATAAGGAGTTGAACGACACGGCTGAGGGCCGTGAGGTGGTGGCGGCTATGGCCTTCCAGTGGTCGACAAAGCTGCTGGTTGGCTACACGATTTTATACGTCAGATGCTGAAATGCCAAGCCTGCACTGATAG